TACCTTGGTAGCCTCTAGAATTAGGAATAACAGATATGATTGTGTGAGTTTAGGAGGAAAAAGCATTTTGTGTTCTTTTTCTGTGGGCCTAAAAAAAAAAAAACACCCTACCCCAAACCCACCCCACAACCTGTTCAAAGTCGGGTGCTTGGTGCTTCAGTGGAAAAAAACAGGTTAAGCCAAAATAAATCAGAACTGAGTGTTCAGGCTACTACTAAGTCTGAGCTGCAGCGCTATATTTAAACATGGTATTTTTGTATTTTAATAATTAACCACTGGGAAAGAACAGCCTAAAAAACTGTGGCGTAGGCTATTTTCAAGGTATCTTTTAGCCCCGTCTTAGTGCCGTAGAGTGCAGCTGAGGACCGGTTGCAGAGGACGGGGATGCTTTGAAGCATCCTGAGGTTTGTGTCCTTCCCCTGTGTTCTTATCTTTGCGACCTCTTGACAGTTAAATCCGGATGATCAGCAACAAACTGGTGTTTGAGTTGCTCTGTGACGTGGGAGAGTGGTTTCTTCCCTTGGATTTCCCTTTGCGTTAAACCGTGACATGATTTTGACTCTCCAGAACCGAGACAACCTCTGGATCAAAGCAACGGTTTGCAAAGGTTGGGCTGTGCGAGGGAGCCCTTTGCCAGGTGATTATTTTATTACCATTCAGTTTTATTTAGCTTTTGAGGAAAAGCTGGTAGGTGTTCTCGTGCCGGAGGAGCACCTGCAAGTCCTCGCACCGTGGTGGGGCTGCGGAGCTCTCGGGGCCCGGCTCTGAACCCCAGAAGCACCGGGTCGCCTCGTATTAGGGACGGGCAATGCGACGGAAACAAAAGAACTTGGCCTGGCACTCGGAGTTAATTTGCAGTTTGGAGGAGGCGGGGAAGGAAGCTAATTTTTCATGGTGTCAGATCGTGGCAGCCTGCCCTGGGCACGGAGCTTACCCGGCTGTGGAGCAGGTCGTGGGCTGGATTCACCTTGTCCTGCAGTTTTTGAGCACCAGTTACCTCCACACGTAGGAGAGAAACTGTTTTTTGAAAACTCTTCTCTACGCTTGGAGGAAGCGAGAAGATGGGGAGAGTCCTTTTATCCTGTACCATCCTCTCCAGGGCCGTTCTGCCTACCGCAGGAGGCATTGCTTCTTCCCAGCCAGAGCTAACTTTTCTCGAAATCAGGTTAAAACTCTATTTTTCTTCATCCTGCATTATGAAAGAGCAAAACTGCAAGTGGGTAAGGGTGGAAGAGGGCATTCAAGCATGGAGTGCAGCAGGGGAGCTTGAAACGCTGGCTCCACAGATGCAAAAATGCTGGGAAATAAATGAGATTTTTTGGGGTTTGTAATGAGCATCTGATGGCGGGGTGGGGGGGGAGCGTGGCTCTTGCCAAATTGCGTTCGGAGTCGTAGCTCTGACCAAAGAGGGCTGCGAACGCGGGGTTTGAATGTGCCACGGAAACATGCTCTTTGCTCTCTGCCTCTCCCAGCAGCGCCAGCAGCCGTGTCCCCCAACGTCCCCCCACGTCTTCGGCGCCGGGTCCCCGCACAGCGTAAGAGACCTGCAGAGCCCTTTGCCTCTCTTGCTGGGAGACGCTTGGAGGGAGCTGGGGCTGCTTGAACAAACACTCTTTTCTCCTCTTCCCCTCGCCTCCTCTCTTCCATTTCTCCCCACCTATTATTTTTCTTTTCTTGGTGCCTGGTTATAGGAAAAGCTTGGCTGGAACCAAGTGATTCTTGCTCCAAATGATCCCATGAGGCTAATGAACCTCACAGGCTTCCAGCCCCGCTCAAGTAAACATCTCTCCGATAAAGATCCCAGACAAGGAGGTGCAAGAGCAGCTCCAGCTTAGAAATACGCCTCGTAATGAAGCTAATTGACTTACGTCTTCAAAGCTTAATACCCTTAAAGTTCTGGAGCTTGAACTGAATTGACCTCGAGACCAATTCTCTCAGCGAGCCCTCAGGGTTGTGGCAGCATCCCAGAAACCCGGCTGCAGCTCGAGTTCAGTTGAAATAAATAAAAAAGTCTGTACCAAAGCACTTGGTCTTATTTGGAACTGAGGCTCGTCTTGCACCATCCCTTTATTTTTCCCTCCAGTCCTGTGTGGCCTTTATGATGAGACATAAGGGCACCGTGAGCTTTCAAGGCTTTGCTGGGGAGCATTTGCTGCTTCGGACGGGCAAAAGCAGATACAAGCGGGTGCTTCTTGCCCAAATGGTGTCTGGCAAAAATGTCTGTTGTGATCCCTAAGGTTTCCTCTGGGTTCTAGTTGGTAACTGCTGCTGAAAATTTGAGGCAATTAATATTTGCTAGTTATGTCACCTTGTCCACAGGCGTGAGCAGGACCTGCTGCATTGCTCGTGCTTCCTTCAGGCTCCATCAAAAGTAATGGGAAATGGAAAAGTTCTTCAAAACTGAGCCCGTGGAGCAGGGCTGGTGGAGTAAAGGTGACGACCACAAACACCTCTGACAGTGCAAAACAGTTAAAAGGCACAACTGGGGTAAAAGAAAAACTCAGCATCACAAGCCAGACTCTAAATTAGGTTTTTTCCTCTTAACTGGGTCCAGTTTAGCTGATCCCACACTTCTGTTGCTGATACTGCAGAGTTGCTGATTTACCCAAGAGCCTTAGGTTAGCTGAGGGAAAAAACACCAACTTTTTCTGGCAGTTCTCAAAGCTGCGTTTCTGGGCCTTCCTTATTGAGCCACAGGGAGTCTAAATAGCGAGGTGAGGTGAGCTGATGCCTGGCCGTGTCGTTTTTATCTGGAGCGATGGCTGGTGACGTGAGCGGTTGCAAAACGAACCACCCTGTTTGGGTCTGATTTTTGTCATTTAAGGGCTGCCGCTGTCTGCCGGAGGTCAGGATATTTTTTGCCTTTTTTTCTTTGCCTTTTTTTAGTGCCTCTTTTTAAACTTGAGCTTAAAACCACAAAATCCTCATTGCTTGTATGGCTGGCTTGCAGTTTCGGATTAAAGTTCTGAGTGAGTTATCTGCTGTAAGTAAAAGCTTTCGTGTCCCAGGCTGTCATATCCATCCTCCTTTATCGTTTTTACCCTCCTATGAAAGCAAGGGGTCTGGTCACCCATCCTGCCACCTCTTAGTGACACCGTTAACCCTCCTCTCGGTGTTTCACGGTGCCTGGTCTTTGTGCAAGAGCCGGGGTGAGCCTGGCTTTGGGGCCAGGTATCTCCCAGCTGGTTTAGCCAAACTCACATCTGAGTTCTGGTTGTGTCCAGAAGCAGAAGATCAAAACAATTCTATGATTCAAACCCCTTCCTTTAAACGATACCTCTTTTTAGGACATCTTTCTTCTGCACATGGTTGAATTCTCAGTAATTACTTTTAATGCCGGCTTTCAAAGCCCTGGGTAGGGATGCAGTAACTGTTTTTCAAGCCCTGTAGAAGTCCTTGTGGTTTTTCTAAGGCAGAGGCTCCGCGTCCTTTACCGACTCCTCTGGAGATGACTCGAATGCCTTCCCCCTGGTGAGACTGAATTCTCCCAGCCTGTCTGCTCCCCACGGGAAGGATTGCCCTAGAGATCTGACTTGGCAAGAGCCTTTTAAGACTGTTTTTTTTTTTTGATGTTTCACCAGAAAAGAGCCCAACCTTCCCTAGCAGAATTCAGCTTCGAGCTGCCATCAGCGGTGAATGGAGTCAACACGCGGCCCCTCGCAGCGGTTCTGGGAGCTCTGGGCGAAGGCAACTGGGGGATGAGGTCCAGGGAAACTTGGACTCCTGCCTCAAATCTGTCCTTAAAAGACCAGGGGGAAAAACAAAAAGAAAAAAAAAAGTTGTGTCAGAGTTGAAGTTTATTTTCCACCCCGACTCCACACGCTCTGTATCGGCTTCAGGTTCGGCAGCGACTGCCCTGCCGTGCCGTGCAGGAATATTTTCCTGAGGGATTTCTTTCAGGAATCTCTCACTGGGAGCTTATTTTATTGTTTTTATTTTTTGTTTGGTTGTCGACTGAAGACTGGGGTAAGCAAGCAGACCTGAGCCTCTTGAGTGTCTCCTTTCTCTTTGGAAAAAGAGTGCTTTAGGGTATTGGAAATCCTAAATTGACTAACTCAGGTGCAATTCATTGGGTCTTTCATCTTAACAGAATTAATTGTCGTAATTGTCACTGTCAATTTTCCCTCTGCAGCATTGCCGAAGAAAGGCTCGACTTACAAATTCTGCTTGAGGGTAGTTTTTGAAAGGTTTCTGTTCTTGTTTAAGAAAGCATCCTGTAGGCTGTATGAACGTCATTTGTATTTTTATTTTTTTGTGGCAAATGCAGTCACTTATATGCAGCTCTTGAGTGGGCTTGAAGAGACACCATCTCAGGCAGCAGTTTTTACCTTTTTTTTTTTTTCTTAATTGCATGAGGTTTGCCTTGAGCTATTAACTGAGAATCGCTTAAATCAGGGGATGAAACTGTCTTTAGCTCCCTCTCCTGGGTAGTTAAGGCATTTGCCCCCGTGATGTTGCTGCTTTTGCGAACTCAGTAGATTTTCAAACTCTTTCCAAGCATCTCAGCTCTCTGGGGCAGTGGTGAGGAGCACAGCGTCCATGCACAGCATTGGGAAATGTGGCTTAAAAAAAAAACAACCCATCAAACCAAAAATCCCCACCAAAGCCCAAGTTTTCCTGCCGCGGGCTGCGAAAGAGCTGCGAGCTGCGCTCCGGGCGCTTTGCTGCTGCTGGAGGTGGGGCTGCATGATGGTTTGGGGTGAGCTGAGGAGTTTGGGATTCCTTTCCCCTTTCCTAATCGTGCGCTCCAGTTTTGGTGGAGCTGCTTGTTTCCGGGCACTGGCGAAGTTGGGGAAGGGAAGGCTCTGGGGAGTCCCGGCCTCTCCACATCCCTTGGGAGTCACCTGTCCTTCCGAAGGCTTTGCCAGGCACAGTGTGAGGGGACCTTTTGCTGGATTTCTTCGTCATTTCACGGGGCAGGTGAAATCCTGGGGCTGCCTTTAACTTTTCCATATGAATAATGCAGCACGTGCTTTTTTTTTTATTTATTTTGTTTTCAGATCGAGAAAATCATGAGTTCCATCGGCGAAGGCATTGACTTCTCTCAGGAGCAGCAGAGGATCTCAGGTAGCGTACCCAGCGTGTGTGTGTCCGTCTCGGTTGTGCTCGGGACAAAATCCAAGGTGCTGGCTCCTGCGTGCAGACCTTTCCGACCTGCTTTTTTGGGAGAGGAAAGTCTGGCACAGAAGGAGCAGACCTCGGCTTCCCAGCATAATGTTCGGTATGGCTACCAGCAATCTTAATTCAGTACCCCCCTGGGTAGGTTAATTTAATTTCGTAGAATCCTAGAATGGCCTTGGCTGGAAAGGACCTTAGAGATCATCTAATACAACCTCCTGTCGGGCAAATTTGCAGAGTGCAGCCATCCTTCCCTTCCAGCAGGCTTTTGGGGGAAAAGTGCTGGGCGAAGGATGTTGCAGCTGGTACCCCCACTCTGCCGGGAAAGGGTGGCACCCTGGTTACCCCAGTGTTGATTCATACTTGCCCGGTGACAGCAGCATGTGCGTGTTGAAACTGCCTGGTTATAAATTCGGGGGTTCAGTGTTGCTGTTTAGGATGTGGTAAATTTTGAGGCGATGTTTTGCGCCTTGGAATAGCTTTAAACAAGGGCTTGTTACTGAGATTTGTGGAGTTTTTCTTGGTGCCTTCCGATACCTGAAGTGACTCCTTCTAGTCCTTCCCTTTAGGAGGAAGGGCAGAGCTGCTGCTTTGTGTGAGTGGCCCGGGATGCTTCTTCTGCTCTTCTGCAAGCTCGCGGCACTGATCATGGAATCATAAAGGTTGGAAAGGACCTTAAGATCATCAAGTCCAACCTACACCACCCTAACACTAAACCATCGCCTGAAGTGCCACATCCAACCATTTTTTAAACACATCCAGGGATGTGACTCCACCACCTCCTTTGGCAACCCAGTCCAACGTTTCTCCACCCTTTCGGTGAAGAAGTTTTTCCTAATATCCAGTCTAAGGCTCAACTTGAACCCGTTCCCTCTTGATCAGCTAAGATCAGCTCCGGCGCGGCTGGCTCGTTGCCCCTGCTCGCACAGCGCAATAACCACCGCGTTCTGATATTTAAGAACTTCATAACTAGTCTTTGCTCAATGCGTAGGAGGAGGATCAGGTTTTCTGCGTGTATGAAAAATACCTCATTTGCAGCTGGGAGGTGGTGTAAGGACTCCAGCCAGTATCCTGGGGGTAGAAAGTTCTACTGATTCTGGCTCCTACAGTTACTGTTGTTCTCTGAGAAAAGTCGAACTGCTTGCCTACAGTTCTCTCCTGCCTTTCAGAATATGTTTGTCTCAAGTTTCTGTCGTTCTCTGGTGGATAGCAACAAAATTTTCTTCAGGCCGTCGGTCTGAAACGGAGCCGCTGCATATTTCTCTTCTGGCTGGTCTCGCAATCCCCACAACAATCCTGCTTTTGTTTCAAATACATAATGCAGTGGCAAGATGGTTTTTGTTGGTTTTATTTTTTTTCCTGGCTTTTTTTTTATTATGCAAGTGGGGGTCTGTCCCTCTGGAAATGAGCAGAACCTCTCTGTAGCCCTCTGCCTTCGAGTGTTTTGTTCTTTAAAGCTCAGAAAATCCTTTCAGCCCCGGGAGGGCAGGCTGGGAAGTTTGTATTTGGAGTTATACATCAGAGTGCCTATAGCCAAGATATCGAATATCCGTGTTATCTCTGTGGGAATTCCCCATCCCAGCAGCACGTTCGCTGCTGGGGATGTTTGGAAATAAAACCCGCTCCACAGGCACGGGTAGGATTGGTTTTCCTCGGCAGCTGATGGGGAGGGCGCTCAGTGCAAGTTGGGTTGTGTGAGAAGGTGTCCCCTTAGAGGCTTTTTTGTATTTCCCAGGTTTAAGGAATGTTTCCTGGGACCAGGTATGCTCGAGCAAAGCCTGTGTGGGGCGAAGGGTCCTGCACAGGCAGTTTGTCTTGATTAGAGATCACCAAGGGCCAGCTTTTAGTTGGATT